CTAAGATAAGTAACTTTTGTTATCATTTTGCTTTCGTCTCTCAAATTGAGCCTAAAAATTCCAAAGACGCCTTACTTGATGAACATTGGTTTTTAGCTATGCAAGAGGAACTAAATCGTTTAAAAGAAATGAGGTTTGGGACCTTGTCCCTCCTCCGCGAAATCATCGAGTTATTGGAACTAAATGAGTATTTAGGAACAAACTAGACGAAAACGAAATTATAACTTGCAAAAAGGCTCGTCTTGTTTCCCAATGGTATAACCAAGAGGAAGGCATCGATTATGAGGAAACTTACGCTCTGGTGGCCCGACTCGAGGCTATACGCCTTTTGCTTGCATATGCATACTCACAAAACTTCAAATAATTTCAAATGGATGTAAAGAGTGCTTTCTTAAATGGTTACATTAATGAAGAGTTTATGTGTCTCAACCTCTCGGTTTTGAGAAATTTGAGAATCCTAACTATGTTTACAAACTTAAGCGTGTGCTATACGGTCTTAAACAAGCCCCTAGGGCTTGGTATGAACGTCTTAGCAAATTCTTACTAGATCAAGGATTCTCAAGAGGAAAGGTTGACACAACCCTTTTTATTAAGCATGGAGGAAAACATTCTATTTTAGTTCAAGTATATGTAGATGACATTATTTTTGGTTCTTCTAACATATCTTTGGTTAAGGAATTCTCTATGCTAATACAGGGAGAATTTGAGATGAGCATGATGGGGGAGTTAAACTACTTCCTTGGACTTCAAATCAAGCAACTAAATGAAGGGACATTTGTGAGCCAAACGAAATATTGCCTTGACCTACTCAAGCGATTCGACATGACAAACTCAAAAGCAATTGATACTCCTATTCCTATGACCGTGAACTTAGACCGAGATGAAAATGGTAAACTTGTCGATATAAAAGATATAAAGGTATGATTGGTTCCCTTCTCTATCTTACGGCTTCTCGTCCATATATCATGTTTAGTGTTTGCATGTGTGCTCGATTTCAATCATGTCCTAATGAGTCACATTTAATATCCGTAAAGCATATACTTAGGTATCTTAATGGTACATCTAAGTATGGACTTTGATTCTCCAAGGGTAGTGATTATTCTTTGGTTGGCTATTCCGATTCCGACTTTTTCAGGTGAAAATCAGATAGGAAAAACACTAGTGGTACTTGTCATTTCTTTTCAAATTCTTTGGTTAGTTGGCATAGCAAAAAATAAGTTTTCGTTGCTTTGTCAACCGTCGAAGCAGAATATGTTGCAACCGGTAATTGTTGTGCCCAAATCTTGTGGCTCAAACAACAATTACTCGACTTCAATGTCTAACTTGATTGTATTCCTATTTTTTGTGACAATACAAGTGCCATCAACCTAACCAAAAATCCAATTTTTCACTCTCGCACAAAACATAATGTGATTAGGCATCATTTCCTAAGGGATCATGTGGAAAAGGGTGATGTCATTTTCGAGCATGTTGATAGAAAAAATCAACTTGCCGACATTTTTACTAAACCATTAGCTACGTAACCCTTCTTTCACATCCGTAGGAAACTTGATGTTCTCGATATCTCGGATAGGTTGCAACTTAATTAAGTTGCATGCTCCTTATTTTATTGCATATATTCCCTTAATGTTTGTTGTACTTATTGATAGTTTTTGTGAAAGTTCTCATCAATCTTCATGAAGGTAATATCCATCCTATCTATTTCCCCTTCTTGATCATATATATGTGTTTATTTAGGTCATTTTCTTGCTCTACTTTCATTATATTGTTGATATGCATGTGTGATTTATTGTTACTTCCCCTATTACATGTTTTATTTTTAGCTTAAACTTCATCTTGCTACAATTTTGTCATGTTTTGCCTAACTTTATTTGCTCTCTTTCAAACATGCTTTGTGTTTGCTTCGTATTTTATTCTCATTCGGTATGTAATGTACTAAATGCTTATGTGTAATTATTAACCTTTTATGCTTTGCACTAATCTCATTTTATGTGAATGATTGTTAGTGTATTAAGTTGCAAATAGATGATGATTATGCATTTGAATAATTTTTGTTACTCTTGACCTCGTGCTTTTTCTCTTTTTGATGTTGTCAAAGGGGGAGAAGAGAATATAGAAGGAATATTGTGTAAAAGCTTGCAAGCAGTGTTTTATGGAATGCGCATATTCATGGGGAGCATATTTGGCTAAGGCTCTAAATAGGCTCTCAATACGGGATGTGTGATCGGTGGAAATAGAACTAACTGTTTTGAAGTGTTGGTTCGCGAAATGTCGCGGTAAGCAAGAGTCGCCACCGTCTTTTATTTTCTCCAACAAGGAAAGGACAAAAGCACAGCAAAATTCCTTTTCGAGATGTTTCTCGGTTCGGAAGGTAGATTATAGAAAGGGAAGGTGTTAGCACCCTTTCTATCCGTGGTTATCCACGGGCTCTTAGGTATTTGCTCACTATGTTTTCAAAAATGTTTGCTTTTCTTGTGTTTGTGGGTTTTAAAAAAAGTTTGTTTGAAAAACTTCGATTTAACTCTTGTATCAGTCCTCAAGAGTGTATGAAGTGTTTATTGAAAACTTTTGTCAGAAAAGTGTAAGTGCGAAAAGTTGTTTTGTTTTGAAAGAGCAAGTACCTGAGAACCTCTACCTACTCAAAGAAATTAAGCTGTGTAAATGTCCTTTAGACAGTACTATCCCACTATTGAGAAGTAGGTAGCACCGTCGTTGGAGTTTTCGGGTCAATTCGATTATAGGGACATGTGGTCACCAAAGCAATAGTAGGACGCCTTAGCGGTAACCCTAATGTCTTAGATCATTTTATCCGAGGCAACCGTTTCGAGGCAACTTGGATCTTTAGACAGGAGGGCGACCTCTAAAACACCCTATACTCAATGACCACGTCGAGGCAACCAAGTGAGGCGTACCCTAGGAGTGGCATGTGCGAGTGTGTCAGGATTCAGCTTAAATTATCTTTGCACATGTTATGGTGAGCTACGAGTTGATTTTATTTTCAGAGATAAGTCTTGTCATGCATAGCCTAGTTAACATACTGAAACAACCGGCTGAAAATCATCAAACAATGAAGTCGCCATCGAACGTCTTTTATCCCACATGAAGGGAAAGGTAAACATCGAGAAAACCCGAGAAGGATGAAATCAAGGTCGAACGACCAAGAGATAAGGGTAAGGGAGTCTGTTACGTGAGGGGAAGGTATTAGCACCCCACACACCCGTAGTACTCTATGGTATCCACTCTTGTTGTCTATCTTATGGGTGTGTTTGGTCTATGCTTACTGTTTACTATATTACTGGATAATGCATGCGAAAGAAAGGGGAAAAGAATGTAGGGAAAAGAAAAGTTATGCTCGCCTGGGCCCTACCCCAATGCCTACGTATCCGTTTTGAGGAATCAGAGCTACCGTAGTTTGGCTTATATGTTTTTGTTTGTTTGTATTTTTTACTGAACAATATTAATTTCGCCTTCTGCCGCAACTCGACCTTTGGAGACTTACGCGTCAGCACAGAAGTGAATTAACATGCTCTCTTGAAAAGTTTGGAAAGAAATGTGCCTGGACGCACAAAAGTTTGAATTTGTTTGTGTTTGTAATGAACGGTATTAATTTCGCCTTCTGCCGCAACTCGACCTTTGGAGATTTACACGTCAACACAGAAGTGAATTAATATGCTCTTTTGAAAAAGGTTTTTTGAAAGGAAGGCCCGAAGGCAAAAAGAATTTGTATTGATTGGTATTTTTGCTTGTAGATAATAGCTAGTTGATCTCAAGGGAGAGATTTTAGCCATGTCTCTACTTATTCGTGAAATGATTCCTTGAGACTTGAACCGTACCGAAGCCTAGAATAAGAGAACAATAAGGTCGAGAAAAGACCCGCTTATCGTCTCACATACTTAACGAAGACATGATTCTCGTCAGTAAATTTTAGTATTTTGAAGTTTGAAAAGAAAAAAAAAAGGTTTTAGTTTTAATGCGAATGCAAAAGGGAAAGAAAAGTCAGAAGGAGACTAGCTTACTTCTAAACCTAATGTTATTATGTATTGTTAGACCTAAAGTTAGAGTTTTGAAGGAATTCTACCTAATGTTAGCATGCATATGGATTGCGATAAAATACGAAAATGAAGAATAAAATAGATTTGCGACAATACCGAACGGAGAAGGTCCGTTGCCTCCTCAAAATTGTGCAAGCGGTAAGAAAATTCTACCAAAGTTTCCTTGAGCGAGTGATTGAAAAAATAATCTCCAAATATTCCCAATCGCGACAGATTGCATCATTACCATCACAAAATCTTGGCTAACAGAGAAGGTTCGTTGCCTCTTCAAAATCACGCAAGCGATGAGAAAACTCTACCGAAGCTTCACACAAACTAATCCTCAAGAATTTCGTATCCTAAAAGTTGCATCAACATTCTACCACAAAACTTGCAAATCCCGTGAACATTCAATGACACATAAAACCTATTTCTATCAAGTTTATGATACTTTTTATAAATTTAAGCAAAAGAAAACAATTAATCAAGAACCTAATGTTCAGAACCAGCCATTAAACCACTCATCATGCCAAAGAAATTGAATCATGGATAAGGAATTGACAAGAGCATCTAAAAAAAACCTAATTCTATCCATTTACAACATTAATTCAATTAATCCTAAAACTTCAAGAAAAAATATCATCTAATCAGAAATAAACATGTTAATGTAAAAAAAAAATCAACAAAAAAAATCATGCAAGAAACTCACAAAACTAATTGCGAAATTTAAAGAACAAAGTAAAGAAAATAGAGAAAATTGGGAGGTGTTCTGGATTAAACAACGGTGTGAATAAAGGTCCAAAGATCATGAGCCCAAACCAATAGCCTTCAGATTTTTTTCAATTCATTTACTATTACTTCTGATTTTTTTTATCAGTTATTAAAGAAGAAAGAAAAAAAAAAGAGATAAAATTTAAAACAATTAAACTAAATGAAAAAAAAACATATGAAATTGGAATTAGGGTTAGAATGAAATTGGAACCTCCGTCTGTGCTCTTGAAACCACGACAGCGATCCACTCCCGCTCTCATCTTCCTTGACTTCGCCGCCGTCTCTCTGTGCTCCCGTGCGCCGTCTTCTCTTCTTCTCCGATCATCGATGATTCCGTCACGGTGGTCGTTTAAATGCCTTGCCGTTTCAGTTTGCTTCCTCACACATCTGGTTTGTCTCAAATTTCGTCTGCCTCTGTTCGTGACTTCGACTCATGATGCAATAGCCTCACTATTTCAAACATTCTCCGGCGCCCCTTCAAAGCTTTACCGAAACCAACAAGTTCAAATACAAATCAGTAAGTCTTCCTGTCTTGCGCTTAATCTTTATTTCTTATCACTTTGTTCATGATTTTGTTTCTACTCGCTATGTTCACGATCTTGTTGTTGTGTGCGTGAAGCCGAGAGTAGGATGAATGTTGTTCTGCAGCGACTCAGAGGTGAATCGGTGATGAGGTTGTTGCATTCCGCGTTCTTGTTGATGAAGCAGAGAAGATTACAGTGCTTATGATCTTGTTCACTGAAGATGCAATGATGAATTTCTTAATGATAAAAGGTTGAAGATGAAGATTCAGTTCAGAGAGTTAGAAGATTTGGATAATGATGATGAAGGTGCAGAGAGAGAAATCCGAGAAACGAGACTCAAAGCTCAGTGATGATGGTGGAAACTGCAAAGAATGGAGACTAAAGGGAGCGTTCACGAAAGATCAACCGGGACCCATTTGATATGCTTTTGACAATGTTGTAATGACCAGAAATCCAGTTACAAATCAGGTACATCCTCCATTCCATTCTTCTTCCGTTCTTGCAATTTTGAACAAAGTTATAATGTTGAAAACTTGGTAATGATGGTTGAATCTGGACTGATGTGAGGAATTGATACTTTACATTTGTTTTTGCAGTGAGAAACGCGATGTAGGATTGATAATGATTGAAGCATAGAGGTTGTGATATCCAATTTATTGAAGATGAAAGAGGGTGACGAAGAGTAGAGTAATTCTGGTGAAGGGGCGATTTAAAGAACATGAAGATGAAGTTGATGAAATTCGATTGGAGGAGTAATTTGTGGTGGTTGCAGAGAAGAGTAAGAACTGTGAAGAAGTTTCAGAAGATGATGAAGCAATATTGATGATTATGCGATTTCAGAGAGAATTGGAAGGTGAGTTTTTTTTTGTGTTGAATCATAAAATCATCCTCCTCCAACTGAATGATAATCTCCCTGTTATATAGATTTTCTGCTATATTTTTTAGAAGATGGGATTTGGTTAGAAACTGTTTAGAGTTTGTTAAGAGTTTGTTTGGGGTTTGTTAGGACAGTTAGAAAATCCTGTTAGAAGTTATGCAGTGTTGTTTAGTTGGGTTAAAAGGAGTTAGTTAGAAAAGTTGGCATTCTATTATTGGTTCGCTGGGAATTCTGTTTGTAGGTTGTTAGTAGTTTGTTAGGATTTGTTAGAAAATTCAGTTAGGAAAAGGTTAGTTATGGATTGGTTGTTTTGAAATTATGAATTTCTGTTTTGGCAGTTTGTTAAGTTTGTTATGTGCAGGTATTTCTGTTGCAAATATGCTATGGGTTGGTTATGGATTTTGTTAGCAATTAGGAAGTTAGAAGTTTGTTAGAATTTGTTAGAAAATTTTGGTTAGAAGTTTGTTATGGGTACAAGTTAATTATGAACTGTTAACTGTGTATTGATTTTTGCTTTTTAATCTTTCTATGCAGGGCTGAACTGGTTGCTTTGGTAGGAAGTGCGAAAAAGGTTGTAAGAATGGGAAGCATTAGAGAAGCAGAAGAAACTACAAAAACAATCTGCATGTAGCTCTTTACACGGAATGATGAACGAGCCATCAACTTAGATGAGAGTGAGCTTCCCAACATCAAAATTTTGTACTGAGGAGGATGTTTGGTGATGCAGCTCGCAATGTAAGTTAAGCAGTAAGTCACACAAGCCCTCTTCCGACCCTGTTTATCAGCCAAAGATCCCACAATTATTCCAAACAACATTGAAGACCCAAAGCCAGCAATAACGAGTTGTCCAATATCCCCCTTTCCATATCCATGAGTACTATGAGAGAATAAATGAGAGGATAATTATTTTTGAAGGAATTGAAAGCGGAGGAAGTATGGATTCGATCCTTATTGTTTTTGCTAAGCTCGAGAACTGTAACAACAGCGGCTAATCCACCGAACACGGCATAGAAGAACAACTCCAATTTCGCGATGCAGAGAAATTCCAGTACCAATAAAATTTTGGATCACAGTCTCTTTTTTTGCAGAGTGTGTGTGAAGGATTAGTTGTGTGAAAGATAGATTTAGCGTAGCTTTGTGTAATTTTTTTTTGTATTTCGATCAATGATGTAATGTAAGACGGTGTAGTGAGTTATAATCTGGTATTGAATTTTTTGCAATAGATCTTGCAATGTGACTTGAAGGAAGTGAAATTATAACAGACTAGTGCTTTGGAAATGTAATGTTCTCTTTCTCAAACATAGATTTGAATTTTTCCTTCATTTGCTTTAATTTGAATGAATCTTCAAGCGTCTAATATTTTCTCCAATTTTCAATCTTGAACCCTGCTTTCATAATTCTTGACTTTGTCCATAATGCGCCTGTTCAATCGCCTATAGCATTAATGTTCAGACTAATTCCAATTAAATTCAGCTCACACCAATTGTCACAGTTAGTACTAAAGAAATCAGTAGAGTCTTTCTCATCAACCAGCTTATGCCACACCTTTCTAGCAATGCCAAAATCTCTAAAGACATGAAGGGTAGACTCCTTCTCCTCCTGATGACAATCTTTACAATAGGGATCCTCAAGCCCCCTCACATTCATGTACTATTTATTCTTAATCCCACCAAAAGGAATTGTAGCATCAAATACATCATAACAATTCACCCAAACTGTCCCAACTTTCAATGCTCTTGTCAAAGTATTAGCAGTGTCTATGTTTTGCGTGAAGATCCTTGCTGCAAGACCATACTTCGAATTGTTTGCTCTTTGAATTACATCTTCATTGTTCTTTAATTTTAATATGGTTTGTACTGGACCAAATATCTCTTCTTTTGCGATCGGCATGTCATCCTGAACGTCTGAGAAAACAGTAGGCTGAATATAGTAGCCCTTGCTGCCATGCCTTTCTCCGTCAGTTTCAAGAGTAGCCCCAGTGTCGACACCAGATCTGATATATCTCAATATTTTCTCAAATAGCTTTGAATCAATCTGAGGGCCTTGTTCTATTCCTGACTTGAATGGATCTCCAACAGAACGGTTCAAAGCGCGGATCTTAGCTTTCTCGACAAACTCGTCATACACACGTTCATGTACAAATGTACGAGACCCAGCACAGCAACATTGTCCTTGATTTGAAGAATAGGGCAAAGTGTGCTAGCTCAACAGCCTGATCTACGTCAGCATCTTCGCATACAATAAACGGAGATTTCCCGCCAAGCTCCAAAGTTACTTGTTTAAGATTGCTTTGAGCTGCAAGTTGAAGAATAACTTTGCCGGTTGCAGTTGAACCAGTGAATGCAACCTTGTCAACATCCATGTGACTAGCAAGAACAACACCTGCCGTTGGACCGAAGCCGGGCACTATATTCAACACTCCAGGAGGAAGTCCAGCCTCAAGAAATAGTCTTGCTGTATACAACGCAGACAGTGGTGTCTGCTCGGCTGTTTTCATAACAACAGTGTTGCCACACGCCAACGCCGGACCGACCTTCCAAGCAAACATGAGAAGAGGGAAGTTCCATGGAATGATCTGACCAGCAACACCAATCGGTTCATGCAATGTCTGCACATGATAGGCCCCGTCAGCTGGAATTGTGAGACCATGAATCTTATCTGCCCAACCAGCATAGTACCGAATTAGGCGAACCAACATTGGAATTTCAACTTGACGAGATTGTTCATACGGCTTCCCATTATCCCAAGTCTCAAGTGTCACAATCTCATCGTTATGTTTCTCAATCAGATCAGCAGCACGCAACATTATCTTTTGCTTTCATAGGCTGTCATCTTAGGCCACGGGCCTATATCGAATGCTTTGCGTGCAGCTGCAACAGCCCTATCAATATCTTCAGAGTGACCCTCCGCAACATGGGCAATCACTTCCCCGGTCCTCGGATCCAATGTTGGAAATGTTTTCCCAGAAGCAGCATCAACAAACTTTCCATCAATTAAGAGCCCAGTATGCTCTACTTGCACCAACGCTTTAATCGGCTGTTCATCAACAACAGCAGCTGTGCTATATTTAGCAAGTAATCCACCCCGATAACCGCCATTCCCACCTCGAGAGAACAAGGTAGAAGAAGATGCAGAAGAAATTGAGCGAGAAATTAGCCTAGAGATTTTGATGGAAGAAGCCATTGGATGTTTACTCTTAGCTTTTCACGAGCATATCCCAAATTAATATATTCTTTAAACAACAAAATAGACTTTACAATGCAACTTGGGGAGTGTACCTCCTAGAGCACCCACTTGTATTAGGTGTGCAGTGACGACTTGAGACATGGATAGAATAATGTTCAAAATGTCTTCGAAATGAAACAAAGCATGATCATCTAATAGACATAAGGAAATGAACCCAAATCTTCAGACTTAACAAATAAAACCTTGCAACTTGATTTTGAGATGAAGAGAATAACCTCGTAGCTTGATGAGGAAGAAATCCACAACAACCATCAATCAAAACCCTAAATTCACAATTCAATGTACCAGAAGAATCAGTCTAGTTTGATAAACACCTCGAACCAGAAGAAAGCCCGAGCTTCACAACCAATGATTCTCTGAACCATGATTCGACAAAACCTGAATTGGTTAATTAAAGAGTGGATGAATGCCATGTGAAAGTCATTAAGCCTGATCAAATGATAGGCACACTTATATGAGGAAACGTCTTGATTCGAAGACCATGCATGCTAAGTCAAGCCCTTGAGTTCTTGAAAAGAAAAACCTGTAACATATTGTTTATCAGAAGATAGTAGCCTTGTTGCTTGAGGGAGAAGAAGTCCAAAAACGAGAATGAATCAAAACCCTAATTCCACAACTTGCTGCCTGAATAAGCAATCATCTTTTATTGGGTACGAGCGCCTTAACCACTGTGAAACCCTAGTATCGCACAACCACTGAACTTTGAACCTTAGAGCTATATTGAATGAAATGTATGCCATGTTAGTGACCTAATGAAATAGATGCAGATGAATGCAAAAAGTCTAAGCCAAAATAAAAGAAATTATGAGGGCAAATTTTGGGGTGCAACAGCTGCCCCTATTTAATCGCCTTCAACCTGAAGGGGAGATTGGCGCCAGCCTTTCGAACCTTCAAGGTGGAAGAAGATTAAATACTAAAAGAACCCAAAAATTTGCACTCCGAAGCCGGTCAGGTATCATTATTTTTGGTCTTTCTGTATTTTCTGTATATATATATATTTTTTTGCTTTCTAGGTTAAAGGGGTTATCGGGGTTAGGTATATGTTTAACCAGAGTTTGACACACCGAAGGATAACTTGGTTATCGAGGAACTTCTGTTGGGATTTAGTAACAAACACCTGTAAGAAAGATATCAAAAGATATACGCCTGAAGTCCGTAGCAGACATGCGAAAAAATATCAGAGACACATATCCGGGGTTGGTAGCGGATATACAAGAAAGATACATCAAAAATACATATCCGTGGTCGATATCGGACACATAAGAAAGAGATAGAAAAGATACATATCCGTGGTCGGTATCGGACACGCACAAAAGAGATATCAAAGATACATATCCGTGGTCGGTATCGGATACGCACACAAGAGACATCAAAGATACATATCCATGGTCGGTATCAGATACGCACAAAAGAGACATCAAAGATACATATTCGTGGTCGGTATCAGATACGCACAAAAGAGACATCAAAGATATATATCCGTGGTCGGTATCGGATACGCACAAAAGAGACATCAAAGATACATATCCGTGGTCGGTATCAGATACGCATAAAAGAGACATCAAAGATACATATCCATGGTCGGTATCAGATACGCACAAAAGAGACATCAAAGATACATATCCGTGGTCGGTATCGGATACGCACAAAAGAGACATCAAAGATACATATCCGTGGTCGGTATCGGATACGCATGACAGAGACATCAAAGATACAAGAATATATGTCTGGGGTTGGTAGCAAACATATAAAATAGGTATCAAAAATACATATCCGTGGTCGGCATCGGATACGCACAAAAGAGATATCAAAGATACATATCCGTGGTCGGTATCGGATACGCACAAAAGATAACAAAAATACAAGAACATATGTCTGGGTTGGTAGCAGACATATAAAGCAAGTATCAAAAATACATATCCGTGGTCGGTATCGGATACGTAAGAAAGAGACAGACCGAAGAAAGCTCTTACAAAGAAAACACCAATCAAAGGTGAACTTACTGAGGGAAGAGACCAAACAAATGGGACTCCTGACAAATGATACCAGTCGACGATGGATTTTAACAAATGATACCAGCCGAAGCGGGATTTTGAAAGATACCTGCCGGAGCGGGATTTTAACAAATGATACCAGCCGAAGCAGGATTTTGAAAGATACCTGCCGGAGCGGGATTTTGACAAAAGGTACCAGCCGAAGCGGGATTTTAGGATAAAGAAACCAGTCGAAGGGGAAAATTTATCCAGGAATACTATGCCGAAGGTAGATTCCTAAGAAAAGAACGCCGGTCGAAGGCGGACTTACAACTGCAAAGAGACCAGCCGAAGGGGACTCTCAACAAACGGTACCAGCCGAAGGTGGATTTTAAAGGATGCCAACCGAAGGTGGACTTTAGGATAAAGAAACCAGCCGAAGGGGAATCTTCATCCAGGAATACTATGCCGAAGGTAGATTCCTAAGAAAAGAATGTCGGTCGAAGGAAAACTTACAACTGCAAAGAGACCAGCCGAAGGGGACTCTCAACAAATGATACCAGCCGAAGGTGGATTTTAAAGGGTGCCAGCCGAAGGTGGACTTTAGGATAAAGAAACCAGCCGAAGGGGAATCTTCATCCAGGAATACTATGCCGAAGGTAGATTCCTAAGAAAAGAATGCCGGTCGAAGGCAAACTTACAACTGCAAAGAGACCAGCCGAAGGGGACTCTCAACAAATGATAAAGGTATGCATATCTGGTCAGAGTTAGATACACAAGAGCGAAATTGATCATCAAGAAACAAATGTTTAGAATTGCTAGCGAACACGGGAATGATACTAACCGAAGAAAGCCCCAATAAAAAGGACGCATTCGCCTAAACAAGGGCGCCATACAACTGGACTTTGAAGAGACATTGAAAGACTCTTAATCATAAAAAGTTAGCTGGGCTAACGAAAGGAGGACCCGAGTAACATGGATAAACCAAAACAGGGAACCGACTAAGCAGGACCTTCAAAGAGCACTGATAGAAGGTGAACTTTACAAGAGAAAGAGATTGGTCAAAGCAGACTCTAACAAAGATTGCCAAAACACATTGGGCTTTCGATAAGTTGCAAATACGCAAGGACTACAAATCCCTCAGGCCAGAGGCAGGATGTTAATTCTTCAAGAGTGGCAATTGTCAGAATTACCACACACCAAGTATGGATACCCAAACACTCGAGAAGCAAGAAAGGTTATAAGCCAACCCTTACTCAAACTCTAACGACAGAGCAAACGCGGGTAAAATAACCGAAGGCTTGCAAAGAAAAGCGCAAACCACAAACTTACTGGGGAAATGGAGAAATACCAAAGACCCGACTGGTGGTGAATCCAAACACACTCTGCTGGGGAAACATAATAGAATTACCCTAGGCTTCTTGTGGAGGTAAATCAAATCTGAGCGCATAACAATCTGGTCGCCACAAGTGGACACAATTGGCTTATACTCATGCATGTTTGATTTTTTTTTATAGCGTAATGCTCCATACAATGGAAATGCTACGCGTTTTAGTAGATGCAATGTAATGATACAATGTAATGATGCAATGTATTAAGAAAATAGGCCAACAATCGGCTGCTGAGAAGGCAAAGAACTTCTGAATGATTATTCTTGCATATCTGGTCTTCTGTAGAGAAAAAGCAATTTGTACTTCAATGGGGAACCGAGATTTGGAACCGTCGATCCCTAAAGATCGATATCACTGGGGAAATAACTTCCTGGGATAATACTACAAAAATAAATTTTAGTTCGGTGAAAATCTTGAATTCTGATCAAACTCCCAACTTCACGGGGAATAAGTTCTTTATCCTTTGTTGGGAAGAGGAGAGCTTTGCTGGGAATGGACACTTCTGGCATAAAAATTCTTTGACGAAGATAACTTCTGTTGGGGGGTATAGGGATTCTTAAATAAAAAGAATTCTACTCAGACCACACTGGGGATAACGTTGTTGGGAGGTAAAAGGCCCTCACTTGGGGAAGAAACAACATCCCGGGACAAAAACTCCATTGGGGATATCGCAACAAAATCTTCTGCCACTGGTAACGCAAGAGTTATGACTGGAATTCTCCTGTACACCTCACCAGAGAGATAGGACACTTGCTCCATTAGGGAAAGAAGAATAGTTCCACTGGGGAAATTGGATCTCATTATACGAACATCCTCACGTTAGTCACATACAAACCCTTCTTGATTCATTTGTTGGTATGTATCTTGTCACACAAAACCAACAGTATTTGAAAAACAGAAATTGGGGTGACGTGCCCCTGTTTGGAATGGAAAACCTTACTGAGGAATATACAACTTGAATGATCAATCACCGGGTAAAAACCGCGATGCAATATTGCTATTTCGACTCCGAGGAGGAATGCCACTAAAAACTGGACTTTAGAGGAGATGCTGCAAAAATAAATTGCAGTCCAATGAAAAGGGGTCAA